CGCCAAAACCCCAAAACCCCAAAACCCCAAAACCCCAAAACCCCAAGATGAGGGAATCAGATCATATTTGGTGATGAATATTTGAGTAAATGAAGAAAAAAAGTTATAATAATTTTTAAATGAGCGGTATCATTGAGTTTGACGTCGGAGGAGTAGTAGTCAAAACAATTAAAGACACTATTTCTCGTTTTCCTAAATCTAAGCTTCATCAAATACTCTTAAAGCAATAGCAGCTTCAATCGTAGCATCTCAGAGCAGGTAATGATAATATAGCTGCTGACTAAACTCTAAGAAAGATACTTCAAACTTCAAATTAAGAACCTTAGCCTAATTAGGAGGATTAGTTTTGTTAAGAAGGTCAGTAAAATCATGACTTCATTGAGATATTTATAGACCATAATCCAAAACGATTTACCAGAGTAATTGATTGCCTTAGAGATGGAGAGATACCCTCGAAGCTATTGAATAAGAAGTAGCTTTTTTACCTGCAAAAAGACCTTTAAACTTTTGGTCCTTTTGAAGGATTAAAACATTTTGCTAGCAACATCAAAGAAAATTAGCATCAAAAAATTTACACAGTCGATAGATTAGAGCAGTATACAGAATAAAAGTAAGTTGAGTAGACTCTCAGTTAAGGCATTGTTGATAAAGCAGATTAATAAAATAATAACTAATAAGATAAAGGAAGTCTAGATTTAGTTGATGAACTAGATGAGTAAGACGTGATTGGTGAGCTTAATGAAATTCTAAGAGATAGTGAAATACAAAACCAGAATAAAATTAATGTAGATGATAACTAAAACAATGAATATGATCTTAGCTCTAATCAGATAAGCAGTGGTGATATAAGAAATGATTTATAAGATGCTATTAGTCTGAATTAGATATCGAGTTAGGATGAAAATTTGTATTCATCAAAGATAGGCCTTCCAAATATTAGTAATGACAAGGAACCTGAACTTGATGATTATCTTAATATGCAAGATCTTTAGGATATAGCCAAAGACTAAGATGTTGAGGAGGAGTAAGAATTCATAGTAGAGTTAGCTAATTCATCGAACCTTTAGAACTGCTAGGATCTTTTCAGTCAGAGCCAAATGTGTCTATCATAATATAAAAACTCAAAAAGAAAGATGATAGAAAAGTAATAAGAATAAGATTCTAAGCTAAAGCGAACTCGAGGACAACAATAGCAGGCAATGATTAAGAAAAAACAATAAAATCAATAGAATAGCTCAGAAAAGGAAAAATCCTCTACAAGTAAGTCCTCTTCTTCTTGCAAGATATAAAATAAGAGATATCAAACTAGAATGAGTAATAAAAAGAAGGACTGTGAAAATAATCTTGGGTTTTTAGGAAATGATTAGCCTGCTGATAAAGAAGTATTTTCTCTTAAGAGGATAAAGCAAGTGTACTGAAGTAATGCAATAACAAATTAAGTGAGACTATTTTGTCCTGGCAATTTGAAGGATCTAAATATTGAGTTGATTTCTTGATTTTGTGTGTAAATTTTCTAATTTATTATTTCTTTATCACTTCCTAAAAGCATCAAATTTAAACTTCATGGGGTTTTGGGGTTTTGGGGTTTTGGGGTTTTGGCG